TGTTATATTTTGGATTTTTCTTTGGTAGGATGAAACTTGAAAGATACTGTTCCTTTATAGGTTGCATCATTTACTGGAGAGAAGCAAGCTATAATGAAGTACAACAAGTCTTTATTGAGTGCTTACAACTCTGGCATTCATGAAAGTTTAGCTGCTGGGATAGGTTTTGGTGTGTTTATGTTTATAATGTTCTGCAGTTATGCTCTTGCTATATGGTATGGGGGAAAGCTGATACTTGACAAAGGATATACAGGTGGTGATGTCATTATAGTAATTTTTGCTGTTTTGGCTGGTGCAATGTAAGTTACAAGTTTTTTCTTCCTTTTTCCTGACCTTTTTTCCCTAATTAATCCTTGTGGTTGTATGAATATGCCGTATTTTCACACGTCTATATGTCTGCTCCATGCTTAATATCATTGTTGGTTAGTACAATTTGATATATATGTACTTGTTAACTCTTCTGCTTGTTTCTAAATTCTTCAGGACTCTAGGTCAGACATCTCCATGCCTGGCTGCATTTGCTGCTGGACAAGCTGCTGCATTTAAGATGTTTGAGACAATTAATAGAAAGCCAGACATAGATGCTTTTGATGGTAATGGGCATACATTAGACGATATTCGTGGAGACATTGAGTTAAGGAATGTTTTCTTCAGTTATCCAGCTAGACCAGATGAACAAATATTCAATGGATTCTCTCTTTCAATCCCTAGTGGCACAACTGCAGCTTTGGTTGGACAGAGTGGAAGTGGAAAGTCCACAGTGATCAGTTTGATTGAGAGATTTTATGATCCACAGGTTGGTGAAGTTCTTATTGATGGTATAAATCTGAAGGAGTTTCAGTTGAGATGGATCAGAAAGAAAATCGGACTTGTTAGCCAGGAACCGGTGCTGTTTGCCTCTAGCATTAAAGACAATATTGCCTATGGGAAAGATGATGCGACTATGGAAGAAATCAAATCCGCAGCTGAGCTTGCTAATGCTGCAAAATTCATAGATAAACTGCCTCAGGTTCTTATTTCTTCTTTTCTGATTTACATACTTTTGATTGCTCCTTGGTATTGTTTCATGTTTTTGTCCTATACATTATTCCCTAGAAAAACTCCACCAGTGGGAGCTTGTCTTACATCAAGGAGGGTTGTGTCAGGTTGGCAGCCAGCACTAAAACTTTTTTCAAACTCTTTCAACATTATTCCCCAGTAGATCCATCCTTAAAACTGTTTTATTATTTACATCAAACACTGAAAAAAATTAAAGGATTAATACAGTCTCAGTTGAGTTAGGATAATGTGCAATGTAAGTTATCCTCTTATAAATGCAAAAATAAAAAACAAAATCTCAGATGAATCAGGATTACTTGAAAAAGTAAGCTATCCTCTTACTGTAATAGATTAAAAATTGAAGAGTCAACCAAACTTTATCTGGAAAAGCAGAGAATTAAAATCATATCTTATGAAAGGATTTGAGTTTGAAAATATTTTCTTCCCACTTAATTTTCTACTCATTCTCTGAAGTAGAAGAATTCACAACTCTTTCCCTTTACAGCAAGAGTTTTCTTAGGCTCGTATCAAAATCCAAAAAGGGTTCGGTTCTCTAGTCCTAAACTACTCCTAGTTGAGCATTTACATACTAATGTAATTATTAGTATATGTAAATACTTATAAATTTGTCCAGTTTGTCATGATCATGTCTAGTACAAGTATGTTACRTTTCTTTCTTGAAGCTTTTAAAAAAAATTGGTTGYRCACATCTATCCSTCCCCAGACCCCACATTGGCAGGAGCCTCATGCACTGGGCTGCCTTTTAGGGATATGTTTTCAGTCAAGTTTCTATTAATCAAAGATTATGCTTGGCTTATGATAAAGGGAAGAGGATGTTGAAAACTCAGAAATTTTTGACTTTGGAATCTAACTGGAACTTTTCCTGTAGATATTTTTTGGTRCTCTAATTGCATAAACATGGGTTTATATGACAAAGTTAGGTCAGTTTATGCAKWTGACTTATGTCTCAAGCTATGAAAGATTTGTGCTTATAWYTTTATGTGCATATCCATCCAGTTGTGTGTATGTGGGTCAGAATTCTAGAATTTTCATTCATTTTTGAATCTTGGTAACTAATTTAAGAAAAAGGAATTTGCTTCTCATCTTCCACATCATATATTTTGCATCTATTGTATTTAGGGWCTAGACACCTTGGTTGGTGAGCATGGAACTCAGCTGTCTGGGGGGCAGAAACAAAGAGTTGCTATAGCTAGAGCAATCTTAAAAGACCCACGGATTTTACTTCTAGATGAAGCTACAAGTGCACTTGATGCAGAATCTGAGCGGATTGTGCAAGGGGCACTCGACAGGGTGATGGTCAATCGGACTACTGTCATTGTTGCCCATCGCTTGAGTACAGTGAGGAATGCTGATATGATAGCTGTTATTCATCAAGGAAAAATCATTGAAAAAGGTAAAAATTTTGGGTTAATAGTTGGAAAATACTTGGTAAATCTCCCATATTAGTGGAACAATGTCAAAGATTCAGGCTTTACTGTACTATCTTAATCTTATTAATGACTAGTTTGTTGACTTGTTTTCTATGCAACTGAAAAGAAGATACCTATATATACTAAGTTGCAATATTTTTTCTATTAACCAGGCTCACACTCAGAGCTACTCAAGGATCATGATGGGGCGTACTACCAACTTATACGCTTGCAAGAAATGAACAAAGAGTCAGAACAGCAAACCATAAATGACCAGGGAAAGCCAGACTTAACCACGGATTTTGGCAGGCACTCAACCCAAARCATGTCCTTTCTACGTTCTTCAAGTCATGGATCATCTGGGGCTGGAAACAGTAGCCACCATTCATTCACAGTCTCATTTAGGAGACCTACCGGACTCAACATCCCAGAAAACACAACAGGAGAACCTGAAAGCCTGCCTGAAGCATCATCACAACAGCCTCAAGAAGTCCCACTCCGCCGACTTGCCTATCTCAACAAGCCAGAGATCCCAGTGATGCTACTTGGTGTTATATCTGCTGC